ATATCCCATCTCTTGCAAAGAGAGATGGTAAAGCTTGAATTAAATTTGTAAATCCATCATTTGTTCATGCAAGGCAGGAGCTGGGGTTTAATCACTATGTTTCCTTGATGGCTTGAATCAGTGTCCTCTGATGCTGTCACTCCCTTTAGGTAGCATGGCACCCCACTGAACATGGCAACTGGACTTTTAGCACAACTTCCTTTTTTCATTAAATCTCCTCAGATTTATACGAGGGAGGTTTCAATCCATGTGAAATAGTCTTAGCAGCTGCATGTCACCCTTTGCCAGAGTATAGTGCCAGTTGAATAACCAGTCCCATTTGGCATGGGGTGAGTAGCATCTGTATTTTATTGTTTTTCTGGAGAAGAATATAAAATAGTGTCCATTTATTCCTTGTTCTGATTGCTAGCTGTTTAAAAGCTAATGGCTTTCAAAAGGCAGTTATACCTTTTAACCTGGGGCTTATCTGTTCCTGCTCAGCCTTGAGCTCCTTACGTGCATGGTTGGTTGTATTGTCAGATTGTTCCTATGTAAAGCCTCAACTTAGTTATAGGCTTTTGGCCTGTAGCAAATTTAATTAAAGAACAATTTCAAAGAAATGTTTCTTTGTTTTCCCCAAGGTTCATGCCAGAGCCAAATCTTCCTCCATTGATTCTTTATGATGCTAAATCCTTGCCCACTCATATAAGTGGCCAGCAAGTGGTGAATATTGATTGGATTCGGGAGAGGCTTCCTGACCTCCCTAGTGCCAAGAGAGCAAAGCTTGTTGAACGTTATGGGATTCAGCCTCAACACAGTTTTACCTTAGAGGTAGGTCTGTTGATCAAATGATCAAGTAAATTAAGAAACTTAAAAGTTTCAGTGCTTCATAAAATATTTTTTAAATGTCATATTTGTATTTGGATATATAACTCCCAGTGAGGGATTTTAAAATTGTATCTGTTGTTTTGGGCATGCATCCTTCTAATCTAGAATTAGCATCGTGGTGTTTGCATTTTGACCAGATAGTGCTAAGTGACTTTCAACATTAAATAACACAGTTTTTAAAAAATTAAATTAATAATAGCTTAAATTATTAGGACCAGGTTATCTGAGGAGTCATCTCACCCCTGTTATATCACCCCCGCCCCACTCAGTCCAACAGAGGGGGCATGTTGTGGACCCCACCAGTCAAGAAACTTCAACTGGTGGAGTCTAGGAAGGGGGCCTTTTCTGCCGTGCCCCTTGCTCTGGGGAACAACTTACCACCTGAGGTGCAGTATGCCCCCACTCTCATGGCCTTCAGGAAGAGTATGAAATCTTGGCTATGCCAGATGGCCTGGGGGCCGGATGGGAGCTTGCACCATTGGAATTGGCTCGTGGGGTAATTGATTCTAACCCCCCATCATCTTGAATGTTTTTAGTCTTTTTATGTATATGGTCTTTTTATATAGTT